CGGGATCCTGGGGGCACTGCCTGAGGAAGGATACTGGCAGCATTGAAAATCCCCTTTCTGTGGAGATGATAGAGCTTTTCAGAGTGCCAGTCTCTCTGCAGAGTGGGAGCAATTTCCCTGTAATTGGTAAAGTAACCGTAACTGCTCTGTCATTTGTATGTAGCGACACGTAATTGCACGGTAACCTTTGCCGCTGTGTGCGAGGGAAGCGTGGTAAGCTATTAGATTGTAATTCGGAGTGTCAGCTCCGGCTCCCCACACCACCTCACCAGGGCTGCTGCTGCTCAGCAGGCCATGGGGAGGCCTCCGTGGGGCCTCTTGGCCCCCAGATCCAGTTGGGGGTCCTGCTCGGTAGAGCCCTTTGCTAGGAAAGAACCATCAGGAGATGAAGGCCAGGTGTCTGGAACCCCGGCACCTCACCTGAAGGAGTGGAGAGACACAGGTGCCTTCCTCTGGCTTTCTGATGGAGTGAGTGGGTCCAGGATGGGGCCCCACAGAGTTCTAATGCATAGTGCTCCATCTTCTGAATCTGAGATCCCAATTCTCTACTCCTCCATCTGGCCTGGTTGGCCCAATATCTACCCTATGCTGACAGATATTTAGGAAGAACCCCCTTTGCTATTTCACTTGACCACACTAGCCCCTTAATCTTGATAATGCCTCTGAGGTAGACACTGGATTTCCTCAGAGATACTGAGACTCACAAAGGCTAGCTGAGTCGTCAAAGGCGGCAAACCATAATAAAGGCTAACACTTCCATAGCTCTTCCTAACTGGTGGCACTGTTCCCTAGGTATTGAATTATTTAATCGTCACCACTGTATTATTTTAAACCCCATTAACAGGTGGCAAACTAGAGAGAGGTTAAATGACTTTCCAAAGATCACACAGCATTAAGTAGCAGAGATGGAATTCAAACCAGGTTGCACACTGTGAGCCACTGTGAAAGCCAGACTTTTATTTATCCATCCATCCATCCATCCATCCATCCGTCCAACCACCTGCCCCTCCATGGATCCATTCATCCATCCGTCCATCCATTCATCCATCTAACCACCCCCCATCCCCACACATACTCAACCATCCTTCCATTCATCCATCTACCCCCCACCCACTCATCCATCCATTTAGCATATGTATCTTAACCTACTATGAACCAGGCACTAAGCTAAAGGTACAAAAATATAAAACATGCTCCCTGTGCTTGAGTTCCTAGTCCCTGGAGTGCATGGCCGCCCATCTTAATTGACACCTCACACATTCCATGAAGGCTTTGGGGGCAGTGGAAGAAGATGCAGTGTCCTTCAGATGGGGCAGAGTTGTAGTTCTAAGGCTTCTAGGTATGTTGATGGAGCTGCTCTAGTGGGTAGCACATGATTCTCATGGCCTGGGTGCTTATGTGCTTCCCTTGTTAGAATGAAGTTGCTCTTTAATAAATAAGCATCATCATGGTGGCCACAATGGGGTGACTGAAGGGGGATCACAGCCGAGTCTGGACCTAGTTCCTCTGGCTGTGGCTCTAATCTGGCTGTTAATGGGGCCCAGGGGGAGTCTCAGTCAGCAGCTGCCACCCTCCCCTGTTGCCCAGGGTGCTCAGGAATCCACACCAGCCTTCACCTGTTCTAGGCTGGATTTCCATTCAAAAACAATGTGAAATCTCTTGCATCGAAGGGGTGGAAAGACACAGGTGCTGAAGAGCTTCCAGTCCACTGGGCCCTTCGCCCTTGCCCCCTCCAGGCCTCACAATGGTCCTGTCTTCCACTTTAAAGTCCAGGAGAGTGAAGCTCAGAGAACAATAGGACCAAGTTGTCCAGATGAGAAGCAGCTGAGCTGCCCTGCAAACCTGTCTCATAATTTTCTTTCCTGCCACTTCCATGAGCAATGTCCCTCCCCTAATGCCCCAGGAAACAGGCCTCCCCCCCACCACAGCTGGGGGACCGCTGCATCCATGCTGACCTGAGCCATCTTGGTCAAAGGCCTTGGTCAAAACTCCATCACCTGGGCCCCCATTTACAAGGAGAAACTGAGCCATGGAGCGCCATGTTGTAAGTCCCAGCACACATCCTTTGCCTCGTTTAAGCCTGATGATAACCCTGGAGTAACTGCCGCGGTACAGGAGAGGAGACTGAGCCTCCGCCCCTGATCCTACCCTTTCCTACCCCCTGATCCCACCCTCTGCCCCCTTTCCTACCCTTTCAGTAATTCTTACTATGTCAAGATAAAAGGTTTGATCATCTGATCTTGTGAGCCTGATGTTGGGTGGTATACTGTAGTAAACAAGGCTAGAATACCATGTTTAATTGACATGTGTTTAGAGGAGAACAGTGTGGGTCTCTGAGGGGCTCACAGGGAGCTGCATGGGTGGAAGATGGGCGAGCTCTGGGCTCAGGCTGCGAGGTTGGCTGTCCTCACTTCCCTTTGATAAAAAATTCCTCACCTGGACTCCTGGCTGCTGAGGTGCTGCAGAGAAAGGGACCCACAGGTTGCTGACCTTCTGCCTCTGAGTGAGCATGATTTGATGATGCAGTTGCTGAAGTGCATACTCTTTTTTTTTTTTTTGATAGTTTACTGTTGATTTTTGCCCAATCAAAGGGAAAAATTGAGTTTGGCAAATCTGACCACACAGAAAGGTAATTCTGGGAACTGAGAAGCCAGAAGTCTCCCACTTTCAGGTTAATGAGGGTTATATGTGTGGCCAGGTGATGGGGGACACTAA